GAGACGTAAGACGTAAGACGAAAGACGATCCGTAAAACGATCTACGTAGTTCGCTGCACCTTCTCCGCAAGTGCCCGCCTGTGGATTCGAGGTAGGCACCCTATTTTCTCTTGGGCTCGTATCGATGCAATCCTGATATGAAGTCTCAATTCCGGCATGCGTGCGTGTTTGAATTTCATGGGAAGGCAGGCGGGCCACAGGACCCCCATCCCAGGAGTCCCCCAACAAGTATCACTAATCCATTGTCACAGTCAGAAGAAAGCTATACAGAAATTGAAACCGTTGCTCCAGGCTAGAATATCGACGCCTTCCGACCGGCTTCGTGGAGGGGTCGAGGGACGCACTGCCGGCCTAGAGCATCAACAGCTAATTCAACCTGTTTTTGCAGTCAGCCTAACACGTCCGGAACATCAAAATAAAACAATTTCCCCGTGTAGTGACTTTAGCAAATGTGCCATTTTGCTCGGCCTTGCGACATTTCTGCATACAGATAACTATCTATACTATATGTCAGAGTGTTTGTCCGTGTGTGTATCTGTCCTTGATGCTTGGCCAAACCTCTGATCCCAGTCCGACCAAACGTTGCATGGCTTCCTCATTTGGTCCAGGGATGGTCAGAGGCAATGTGGCGTTTCAAAATTCGGACCCTCCGACGTACCTTATTCAGTACACATTTAGTAGATATTTGGCAGATTTACTACAACAGACCCCACAAAGGAGTAAAAATTTTGAGAGGTCAATGAAGTATAAAGTTGTGGTGGTACTCTATGTTACTAAATAACATTTCCGTTGCACCTCGCAGCGTAGCAGCATATTTATAATTTCGATTGCCGTAGAGATATTGACATGGGACCTGAAGAGTGTTCAGGACAAAGGGTCTCCAGCTCAAAAATTGCCTTTGCCTGGGATCGAACCCACGACGCCAACGCCTAGCGGATTGTGAGACCAACTCACAAACCACCAAGACATCGCCCCCCGCCCAGAAAGGAGAGCCTAACAAATCTGTATTTGAATGCGAGCACACGATCCACGCGGCTCGCATTCAAATGTCCATGCATTCAAATACACAGAGGAGCTCTCATACAGGCATCACCAATTTTTTGTGATGAGTCTAGGTGGATTAAGGATTGTCGACAGAAGAGAGAGCTATTAAGGAGATACCTAAGCTCTAGGCTGAGTTATTGTTGCTGTTCGACCAGGGCCGGATTAAGGTTATAGGGGCCTAAAGCTAGGTTCACACCAACCGCATAGCATAGCATAGGACGACATAGCACAGCGCAAGTGCCCCTGTGCGGTCAAAACATGGGCTCCAGGGTCTGTGCGAAGAGTTGAGCTGGATTGAACATAACGCAGAAGGAACCCATGCTCAACCAATCAGAGCAGGGATGTGTCGTCAAACTCAACATGCCGGTTTGCATGGAGGAACTCCTTACATTGAAGTCCGTTGGCCAGAGGTCCATGAACCGACCTAGACAAGAACAACTGAATGTGTGCCCTAGATGCAGGACCATTGTGAAAGGTTGTACTATCGCGTATATTTAAGTAGGCCTAAAGTAGCCTGGAAAGAGAACTTTTTACCCAGCAAACAAGGCTACATTGGACCAATGTTGATTCAACGTTATGTGTTTCAATTGTTCAATTCAATTGTTTGCTGAGTTGGGGAGTGAGGCTTTCTCGAGCCTTCGTCTCTGACGAAGGCTCTTCATCTCTTCTCTGCCTTCGAACCTGACATGGCATGGTTGAAAGGATCGATGTCAAAAGCAGGGCATCAACATCCATAAATGGGAATAACAAGAATTTTACAAAGCATGCTCTACTCGGACTTCACCCAGCCCGCTGCCTAGAGGCCGATGTGATGCGCCATATTGATGACAGGAACTGCATAGCGCGACGCCAATGTGAACAAGAATCTGTAGGTGCTGTGCTATTTTGTCAGTCATGTTATTCTATGCGGTTGGTGTGAACCTAGCTTAAAGCTAATGGGAGGGAAGGTGTAAATCTAGCCATTCTTTTCCCGGACCCGCGGTCCCGGTCTGCAAGACCGTGGACGTCGCCATATTTATGATCAGCATTGTTTGGTTGTGATATAATGCATTTGTTAAGTTTCAAGCAATGAATGATGATTAATATTGCAACACACTCTATGTAACTTTAAAGCAACCTTTAAACTCATGAAATTGTGAAAGACCTGAAAGTTAAGTGCTGGTGAAAACGGTGCAACAAGAAGTGGATCAGGCAACCGATGAGGAGAATCGAGGAAGCCGGAGGGAAGTTTTTCCGGACGGAGTGTGTTTTGGACCTGGTTGGAGACAACAAGGCTTGGTCTTTTCGGCTGTGTGACATCCTCTCTTCGATCCTGCAGTCACCCTCTACAAGCACCTTTCTTCGGTCAGCCACAATAGACCTTTTACAAAAACCTTGGAGCACGAGGGCGACCGGCCTATCCTCTCTGTGGCCCAACCTCTCCCAATTTTAATGTCTTTCCCTTTTTGCTCTACCCTCCCGGGGTAAAGAGCCCAGTTGCCTTATCGGCCGGACTCTCCCTCTAATCCTGTCAAGTTAGGGTTTGTGATCTATCTTTGTGATCTATCTTTGTAATCTATCTTGGTGATCTTTTACTTGGTGATCTTAAATTTTTACAACCTTTTTATAGAAAGTAATTTTAATATATTCTCAAAGAATCTAATTTTTATACATCTTGAAAGAGTAAATTTAGAGTTATCTATGGGCATTTTTATCTCTATTTATTTGAGCTGTTTGTAAAGGGCCTACACCCTCTCAGCTCCCACCAGCGCTGCCATCATATTTTGATAAGTAATACCACTAGGAAGGAAAGGAGCGCTACAAAGGGCCTACGTGTGAATTACATATTGGCAAGAAAGTATGGAATAGAGGGCCTAAAGGAGGGCCTTATTATTAGCCCATGGGTTAATCCGGCCCTGTGTTCGACTGGCTTCAACAAAAGGACGAACGGGAGTCATCTTTCTGGTGAGTTCCTTGGTGCGTTTAATCGTTGGTCTGGCCTAGATGTGTGCTCGAGTCCATAAAACTCCATAAAGTGAAAAGAATGTACTGAATATGAAAGAACAGACAAGCAGCAAGCCCGCACTGTCTCCCGTTGGCTGACAGGGTTCGTGGAAGGTAACATCTTGCCGTGGAAGATCCCCTTAGCTCGTCCTGACGCCAAGCGAGCCCATGAACAATGGATCCACACCATTCACGCTCGCATCGCATGAGCGCAGGCCCATGTCTCTTGGCAGGGGGGGGGGGGGGAAGTTTCGAGTCTTCCAGGTCTTTAAGAAATGTGGGTAGTCGGAAGAAATTGACGCTTTGGGACCTCACTCGCGGCTTTCTCGCCATTTCACGGGCATAGGTAGAAGTCGGAAAGGGGGCTTCAATCTGTTTAAGTATTTTCGACTGGATAGCGTCAGATGGTTCTCCCTTTTCTACCGTGAAAAGAAGGTGGCCGAGGCCTAAAGTCTTTCGCTCATTATATTCAAACTTTGAGGGCACAGTGGGCTGTGGGTGGGTTCATTCAACAATAGGGTACCGCAGGAAGAAATCTTCAATGAAGACGTCTCCGCACAGCGTCTTTCAAGGAAGTTTTCACTGATTTGAACCCCAAATCTTTGCAAAATCAATCTCGCAATTCCCCTGAATTACTTTTTCCCGCAACCCAGTAGATGTCATATTTTACTTTGTTAGTAATGTTAGACGTAGCCATTTATGAAACACGTGACAATTTCTTCTCATTCATGTTGCTACAACTTGCTGAAATGAACTCCCCACGGTTTTATTCCTTATACAAGTACCAACTCTTGGACTTCTCATGGATGAAATCGTTGAACGGACCTTGTATGAGGCTTCAGAGCATTAGCCATTCCTTCTGCCTTAGAAGGAGAAATTAGCTCATGACGTCAGAGCAAGATTGAAGTACTTCGCAGGAAATAATTTTTTTTCCCCCGAAAAATGGAACCGCTTCAGATCCAAGAGGTGTCGGAGCCATCGTCATCATCGAGTGCCGCGTTCCGTGCTCGCGCTCCGTCCCCGCAGACTCTGCCCGGGAAGCGTTCCAGGAAGCGAGCGAGCAGAGGATGCCACTCCCAGGGAAGCGCGCGGAAGAGCGAGGCAGACCGTGGGCGGAATATAAATGTGAGGATGGAGAAGGATTTTCCTCCTTCGCTACAGGCGTTCCTTTCTAGGTTTCATTTCGCCCTTTGCAAAATATTTGTTCGCCTTCTGAGAAATTCTGATGGCATGCATTTTCGTCTGGTCTGGGCCCATGTTACTCTAGTTTCATTGCCTCATTTTTCATGATTTCGCCAAGTCAGAGGTTTGCCAATGTTCTGCATGTCGCCAAGAAACGCTCTCAATTCCCATGCATTTGTATGAAAGTCATTCATCCGGAGCTGGGGGAGAGCCATGCTCAGATCGAAGAAGATTATTATGGTAATCGTGATGTTGCCTAAAAAAATCAAATTTCATTCGTAGCTTTATTTTCGACATTCTGGAAACTTTTAGTACGAACCTCGCACACGCAAACAGAGCATTCCATCTCAGTCAAATGATTTGAAAACCTAGACGGCAGTACCGAACATCAGAACCTTGAGCTGTGGTTGAAGTCTCAGGCAACAAATTCCACTTCTTCTCTAGTCGCTAGAGCAACCCGGTTCGAGGCAGGAATGAGGATTCCGGATGGGGGAGCGGTCGGGAAGGCATTCCGTCTCGAGTGATCGTGGGGTGGTTGCGCTTCAGTCTCCGATTTGCTTGAAAAAAAAAATTACATAATGGCTTCCAAGAGTTACGAAAAAATTATCATCTCGGTGCCCCAAAGTTAGTTCTCGAGAGGAAAAGTGACGTTCGGGGTCAAGAGGCTCTCTTTCGTCCTAGTCGCGGTAAAAATGCGTTTCTTGACTTTGATTAAAGTTTGGAAAATGTATAATCTGATAATCAAACGCATTCTCTGTTACGTTCAACACAAATATTTTCTTTGGATGGAGATGTTCTACGTCGGGCATTATTATTCTACAGGTTTCTTTGCACGACCAAGTCCGATTCCCTTGAACCACATCACCAGAGCGTGAGATAAGCATTTTCGCTTCGGCTATTCTTTATTATTTCATTCTTATTTTATTACAGACATTCGTTAATCCTCTTCAAAACTAGTGGTAATTGTTTTTGCTAATTTTCTTGCAGTCCCTAGACATGTCGAGAGGAAAGCCAATCTATGTTGTTGAGCCAATGGGATCCAGGGATGATCGAGATTTATATCAGGCGAGAGAAATTCACTTGGAAGACGGGCTGAAGAACAAATGGGTTGTACCCATTGCAATTGCAGGAATATCGAGAAAAGGGAAATCCTTCATGATGAATCTCCTTCTCCGATACCTGGAGGAGGTAATATTGAAAACTGGCATCGATGGGACGTTCTCCATTCTTTCTTCATTATGTGTTTCCCTACTTCAGTCTTCACAGGGTTCCGAAAACTGGCTTGACGCAAGGAACACCCCTCTAAGCGGATTTTGTTGGAAAGCAAGTTCTGAAAGAGAAACGACCGGAATTCAAGTTTGGAACAGATTCTTCCTCAGAAAGCTACCCACCGGAGAGGAGGTACTTCATCGATGCATCATTCCGATATTCCAAATATTCAGGCATATGGTGAAGAAATTTGATTGCAGGTATGTGTTATTCTGATGGACACGGAAGGGACTTTCGAGTGCGGCAAGAGCCGTTCCCACAGTGCCACGACCTTCGCTCTCAGCACTTTGCTCAGCTCTGTGCAGATTTACAATCTGATGGAAAATATCCGGATGGATGACCTTGACAATCTCCAGGTTCTTTATTTCGGATTATTTTTTACATTGTTTACAAAAAACTCAGCGGTTTCTCTTTCATGTTTTGTACTTCGCTCTACCCAATTCAATACAAAATTAAATTTCATTCATTTAAAGCAGGGGTCAGGAGCCTATGGCTCATGAGGCAAATTTGGCTCACGAGCCAAAAGGTTTGGCTCATGAGTCATGGCTAAAAAAACATGGCTGTCCCCATTTTCTCATGTGTCAAAGAATGCATATGTTTGTTGCCAACTTCAGGAAAAAAATTTTTTCCCGAAAATCTTTGGCTCAGGAGCACTTGGCTCAAACTTAATATGGCTCACATGGCCAAAAAGGTTCCCGACCCTTGATTTAGAGCATCACCACTGCCCAAAAATATGCCCCCATAAGAAGATATAAAAAAAATATTTATACTGTTTTCCCCAACTGAATCAGCACACTTGACCCAAGTTTGAAATACCGGCGTATTTGGGTTCTGTTGTAAAAGAAATACAAGCGAAAGCGCCATATTTCGACCTTTCAATATTAAATTATTTAATCTTGAAATCTTCGAAATCTTGCGTGTTTGGGAACGCAATCCCCGCGTATAATGAGAGTCAACTGTACTTTAATCTCTTCTGAAGAGGAAGGTAACCTGAAGGCATGTGCTTCCATGAATTTATTTTTCAAAAATTAGCAACTTAATTCTATTTATGTCCATATACATATTTTTTATTTTCTATTTATCTCATTCTTCTACCCAATCCTAGTTTCACAGAAAGATCCTGGCAATATAAAGCCGTCGAAAATATGGTTTCATTGGATGCATTTGATAGGTACTGTACTGTACTTTTGGAGTGGAGTTTTTCTGGAGAAAAGTTTTCCTTCTACTTCTACTGCCCTGTTCTGACTAAGTTTGATGGAGCGTGCCCTGGAAGCGCATTTTTTTTTTTTTTTAGCGGGAACTTCTCCAACGGAAATCATTCTCTGTTGCAATGCTGAGAGATCTAGAATTTTCAAAGACGGATACTTTCTGAGGTTTGTATGATATGTGGATAAAATCATAAGTATACAAACCCCAGAAAATAAACCGGAATGTGATGTCCGTTTTGTGGAAAATATGTTGACATCAGAAAGTTTTGAAATTCCTTTTATCTTCCTCTAAATCTTTATAACTGAATTTTCAACTCCAGATATTTGCAGAGTATGGCAAGCAGTGTCATGCGAGTGGCGATAAACCATTCCAGAAACTCCTGTTTCTCGTTCGGGACTGGAAAAACTCTCACGAGTATGACTATGGCATCGACGGAGGGAAGAATTATTTAGAGAGACAGTTCGAGGTGCGACTCGGTGCTTGGCCATGACAGTGAATCCATTCCTAAAAAAAAAAAAATAAAGTGTATGGTTTCGCTTTTGCCTGCAGAAGATCGAGAAGGGAGATAAGAACACTGAATTCAGAAAGAACCTGGAATCCTTGTTTTCTGTCACTCAGTGTTTACTCATGCCCAAGCCGGGGGATAAGTACGGAGAAGCGAAATTTGACGATTCTCAGTTATCAGGTATGTTGCAGTTAATTGAATTACGCACTGCCACATTTGTACTTGACCCACTGAACGTCAAATCTCCAACTTTGCAGCGTTTTGCCCTCTTTCTCTTATGCTCAGCCTGCTTCCCTTAATATCTTCTGCTAGAAAGCACATTTGAAACAATAAATGATTATCAGATGTGTGGCTATCATTTGCTGATGGAATGATATTTTTATTTGTATTACAAGAAAAATATGGAAGGCCTCGTTAATCTATTGTTGCATGGGGTGGCAAGTTTCCAAGCGGAAATATGCTCTTCCATTACACGAACTACATATATTTATTTAACATATATTTCTATTTATATATAATTTTTATGTACATATTTAAATAGAACATATATTTCTATAATTGTTCTCCTATTGCCCTCAAGTTCAAAAGTCATTTATCTTGAAGTAACAATACGGTAAAAATAAATACGAGAGTATTGAAATGTGAATTAAAGCTCCAGATGATGACAGAGACATCGTAGGAAGCACCAGGCATAAAATCGATTTCACGCTCTATCTCTAATATTTCCTCCATCTTTTCGACATCATATGCCCGGACAAGATAATACCTCTACCTCAATTTCGTGAACTTGCAGAATCGCATGGTACTCGATGAGTGCAAATGAGACGACCTGCCACCACTCGGCATGAGGGCGGTGGAAGGAGTTCTTTCGTTTTGAACGCTAGTACTTCTAATCGATTTCATGGAAGAGTTTCCAGTACTTTCACATAACGAAATGTCGATCTACTTTTTCTTGGGATTGTTCTCCCAAGTGAGGTCACTGCGAATAGATCAACACTGTTGTTTCCTATTTAGCTTTGAATGAGGATTTCAAGACGCACCTGATGGACTTGGTCGAGGAGCTTTTCTCCCCAGAAAAATTAATCCCAAAGGAAATCGGGGGCCGGAAAGTAACATTCCAGGAATATCTGTGTCAAATCAAAACCTATGTTGATACTTTCAACTCGGCGGACAGCAGCTTTCGTACTCGGAGCCTTTACCAGGTAAACAAAGGCCAATATCTACAGGTAATTAAGAGATGGTTCTAACGCTTCCTTCCCGTCTTTTGAAAGGTACACAAGGAATTCCGTTACCTGAAGGCTGTCGAGGAGGTTGACTGTTGGTTCAAAAGCCAAATGGAAGGATTCCTCAAAAACCACACCCTGGATGAGGCACTCATGGAGATTGAAAGATACATTGCAGCAGCACTTGAGAAGTTTGCAGAGAAGATGGGTCGAAAGAAGGACGAGATGCACATCAAATACGAAAAGAAATTGAAGAAGGTTTGTATGTGCTAGCTGGCGTTAATGTATATGGCTCTGACGATGTGATTTACTTCACTCACTAATCAATTCAGATCACTAGACATGTCCGAGGCATGATAAATTCACCCCATCTTTCTAATTATATAATGAACTTATTCCGTTATCAAGTATTGGAAGAAAATTATAATTAAATGTCTAAGATGGCGATGAAGAAAACTAATATTTAACTCCTTTCCTAGGGTTGTTTCATGGCTTTTGAAGGTTGATCAAGGTTAATACGAGTTAATGCGACCTCGGGCTTCGGTGGTAACTGCACTCATTCACTAATAGAGCCAATCTTTACGCATCTTCTTTGGGTCTGACTTCCACAGTCCCTGTCGATAATATTCAGTCCGACCCGATTCGATTCCACCGACTCGCCTCTCCCATTCAGGCATATTCGCTACACTTCCCTCGTTTTTGGACCCTTACAATATTCCCCTTTTCCCCTCAATCATGCCTGGCTGTTATCTTCCCGATCCGACAGTAGCATGTATCTAATTCTGCCACCTCTGACTAATACATGATTTATAAAAAATGTGTCTTCTATACTAAAACCATACATCTACCTTACAGTTGCATGTTGGGATAACCTATGATATGGTTTTGCAGGTCTCTTCTTTCATCATAGATGTGCATAACTGAAATAATCTGGTAACGGAACGATAAAGTTTGGCCTGAATAACTGTTATAAAAGGCGAGCCGCCTGATGAGAAAGCAGTGCGGAGTTGCGCAATAGCTGTGGCACTTCCCATTTCGGGATGATTAGCGCCCCAACACTCACGTCTTGTCTTAGACTTTCGCTGCACTACCCGGGGAAATCCTTCAGCTGTATAGCTTTATAGCTTATTACAATCCCCCCCTTTTTTTGCAGATGCTTAGTAAGCAGAAAGAAGAAATTGAAGTCTGGAGGGAGCAACAAGAAAGAGAGAGAAAACACCAAGAACAACTGAAAGAGAGGGAGAGAAGAATACAAGAACAGAAGGAAAGAGAGAGAGTGCTCCAACAGGAAAAAAAGGAAAGAGAAAGAATGCTTCAAGAAGAAAGAAAGGAAAGAGAGAGAATGTTAGAAGTACAGATGGAAAGAGAGAAAAGACTCCAAGAAGAACAAAAGGAAAGAGAGAGATTACACCAAGAAGAAATGAAGGAAAAAGAGAGATTATACCAAGAAGAACTGAAGGAAAAAGAGAGAAAACTTCAGAAAAAATTGAAAAGAGAGAGATACCTCAGGGAACAACTAGAAGAAAGCGAGAGAAAACAAAGGGAATTGGAGGAAATAGAGAGAAAACTCCGTGAACAACTGGAGGAAAGGAGAAAGAATGCCAGCAGCTGGAAAGGATACCTTACTGCTGCGTGCATGGCTGCAGCTCCACTTACTGAGGGTCTTTCTTTGTCGATGCTGCCACTGCTTGCGCATTCAGATGCAGTGGACGATTCTGCATTTAATGCAGCTGCTGCATCCACTAGAGCGGCTGCAAATTCTTCCGCTGCTGCTCGCAGGGCCTTGAATGCATTCTTGTCTGCAGAAGATGATGATGATTCAGATTAATTGAATCTACCTGGCAAAGAGTTCCGGCTGGAAATATTACTGGTTTTACCTGGTATGTGATGGACTTTTCCGGCAAGTGAATTGCGTGCAGGAAACGTAACTGCTTCCAATTAATTAGAAGGGAATTAAAAGGTAGGAATTTTTCGACGGGAGAATCAGAAATCCAGCACAACACAGCGTAGGATCCAGCTGGATCCCATTGGTTCGTTAAAGCTGAAAACGGCATACCAATTTACGACTAGTTCTAATTGGAAACACTGCAGTCCCTGCTGGAAGTGGCACACATTTACTGATGGAAAGCTTGCCGTTTCCAGCTGGAACTTTTTGCCTGGTAATGCTGCTTAAGCTAGAAACTTTGAGAGAATCCCCATTTTTTATATAGTCCTTGACTCCGCTTTTTTCCCGCCCTCTTCGCCCTCTTGGGATCTTCGCCCCACCAGAAATAGGACCAACTCCCATAATTTTTTTTTTGGCAGGGTTCAGATTGATTACCCGACTTCCCTTCACTTTCATTTTGTGATTTCCGAAATGATCACCACAGTTCTTGTATCAAAGCATATCACACTAACCAAAATTACTTATTATGAAGGTAAATATTTTACAATTCAGTCCTGGATTTTCCAAACCTAAGACAAAATCTCCTGTTCAATTTCAATGAATAAAACTCTTTCAAATGAGGAGCAAAGGCATTTGGTACGAGCCATGGAGCTGGTTTCATTGCAGTCATTTGACATTTGAAAGGAACATTATTCCATTATGAAGTCCGATTCACCTGAAAATGTATATGAATGCATTTTACGGTAAACTAAATTTCAGTTATGGGAAATGCATTTGAAATATTTCTTTGATATTGTTTGAAAAGAGTATAAAATAGAATCATGCCTATATATTGGTGACTGGTGAGTTACCCCCTAGTCTGGTTGTTTCACCAGGATTCCCATCTTTGGGAATTTGGGTAATACATTTCAAGAGGAGCGTTGCTGTAATGAAAGGTTAAGAAAAAAAAACAAGCAGACGTCAAAATCAAAAGGAATAGAATTATTCATATATCACTGGAAAGAACTTTGAAAGATCTTTCATTTGATTTCATGCACAAGCCTGTAAATTGTTTAAAACAAGAGATATGGGTCAAAGCTAACGTAAATTGGCAATTTTTGACTTTTCAAAATTAAGTTGCTGTTGTTTCAAACAGAGTAGGAGGATGACATTCAGCTGAGAACATTCCCAAGCAGGATGACTATTATATAAAGTGAGGGACAAAACTGTGTCACTGTTTGACACAGTTCCACTTGATAGCTCTTAACTCGAGTATTACGTATACAATTTAATTTAAATTTCAGCCAATCATAATCCTACTTCCTGGCTTGAGACAATGAGAAAAGGCGAGACATATAGCAAGGTGCTAAACATTCCCGTGCAGGACGATTCCAGGGAAAGGGAGAAGGGCAACCCATAGATTACGCGCTGGCCTCACTAGATTTTTCGTCCCCGAGCCGCCACTGCTCCACTCCATGGTCCGCACCCGGCGGACCCTCGAAGAGAGTAGAAATCTGCAGGAAAATGGCGTGCGTGTTTCCTCCTCCTCCTCCGCGGACCGACACTCGCGACCCGGGAGTCGGGAAGGCCTCCAAGAAGACTCCGGAAACGCTTGATAAATGGGTTCCCCTCGAGACGAGAGGAGAAGGGAACATGCTGACGCCATTGACATTGTCATATAATCACAACTGAATCTCAACTGGGGAAGACCCCATTCTTCACAGATATAGATTTATTGGAATTGTACAGCAAAATTTTTTTCAGAAATGGAGGAAAACATTTTTAATAATCCCATTCAGAATTCGTCATTTCCTACTCCAACGATAAGAATCATCGAAATTGGGATAGAAAGAATAACTTTCACCTCAAATTCTATTTTCCATCTCCAATTCTACGCTTCAATTCCTGTGTCTCCCCAATCCACATAGAGGGAGATAGAAGACAAGGAGGTTTGGAAGGGAACTTGCTCGCAGATGTATCGGCAAAATGTTTACAAGATTGAGGTGGAGATGGTCGAGTTCTCTCCAGAGCTCGATTGCGTCCCATAGGCGTTCTACTTAGCCACGAAATAAATGAGCTTCAGCGGTCATCTATTGCATTCAGAACGGCGAATCGTAAGTCCTCAGTTACTCCTATCGAGTTCAATTAATTGGCCGAGCCAAATTCCTTGCCAACCGGGTTCCTCCAGCCGATAGCCACGCATATTCGAGCGCGGATGGAAATTTCCTGGAAAAACCACCTGTGGGTTGGATGATTCTAACATTATCTTTCGGAATATTTTCTCAATGTCTACAATGACTACAAAGACTACAAAGTGGGTTTATTGGGTTCAGGCGATTTTATTGAGTTTCATGGTGAACTTCCAACGGTAACACGGGTAACTCAGGTTGAACACTGGAACTGGAATGACCCAGAGAAGAGCATTAAACATCGCAATATTTATTAATCCCTATTTATTTCTTAATGAAAGTGAACCAAGTGAATTTTCACGCCATTCTCATATGAATAACTTTGTGCAAATAAAGTATTTATATAATCACTGTTTTTCTTCTTTTTTGCAAATTTTCTTATAACGAAATGGGGGCTTGGTTTAAGCCATGCACACAAGAATATGAACGTAAATTACCCTAGAAGGATAGCTTAGACAAAGAATATTTCATCATCGTCGTTCTGTTTTCTGTACACGTTCCACAGTCTGTCTCGATGCACGTTGATCAGTTTAACGCAATCTTAATAGGATAGTTCAGGCATGTTTAAAAGAGTAAAGCAAATGTATGATGAGCTAACAATTTGGGATCACTCTGAGAAATCGAGGACGAAAAGATCATCCAAATCCAAGAGATTGGGTGGGTTGTCGGGGTCATCTTCTTCGCCTGGTGGGGGGAAACCTGGCAATGGCATCGTTCCACCATGGAGGAACATCCGATTCCCGGTGACACAGCATGTTTGTCGCCTTCTGCTACATGGACCTTCCCCAATTGGAGTGAGCTTCTTCCATTCCATACGGGATGGATCAAACTGGTGGAGGTCGTTGAAGTGTTGCTCCACGATTCCATTATATCCGCCAAAAACATAAATGTATCCTTTGTATTCAAAGGCAGAATGGCTCCTTCTGCCCAGAGGAATATCGCCTTGAACGTTGGGATGGATCCACTGGTTAGACTTAGTATCGAAGACAACTATGGCATTGCTATAGACCTCTTGATCCGTAAAATTTGCTCCAGAATCATCTCCTCGGCCTCCAAACACGTAAAAACTGTCTCCCAGGGTCGTGCACGTATGAAAATCTCGATATCTTGGTGGAGACCCGGTAGTTGTGACCAATGTCCACGTGAAGGTCATCAGGTCCAGGCGATGTAATTCGCAAGAAAAAGTCTGGGATTCTTCTATAAATCCACCAAAGATGTACATGCCATCACGGTGTATTGCGACTGAATGGCCATCTCTTGCGCCTGGAATATGTCCATATACAGCAGGACGGCTCCATGTGCGTGTTGTGGAATCGAAGCAATAGAGAACGTTGCACGCCCGTTCGTCGTTTCTTCCACCCCATAGGTAGACCTTTCCAAAGTGTTCCACGACCGTGTGCCCATACCGGCGAAACGGAACTCGATCTGCTCCTGGATCTTTCTTCCCGGGGACTGGAAGACTCGTCCACTTCGCGGTGGAAGTATCGAAGACGTGCACGTCGATGAGAGTGAAGTTCTTGAAATCCTCCCCGGTGCAGTAACCGCCGAAGCAATAAACGCTTTGATCGATAGCAACTGCAGCGTGATTAACGCGCTTTGGTCCGTCGCTTACCTTCAAGATCCACTTCATCGTTCTTGCATTTTCAATACCTCATGCATTCAGACAATAAACCTGATCACAGGAGAAATAGTAGCATGAGATTTCAGGCATTGATCTTGAAACAAATTAAAAACTGAACACCGAGAAATTCTCACTCTGTTAATATCCTGAAAAATGGGGGAATATCAGTTGGCATTGCTCTAAAGTTTAACTCTTGTAAAGTAGAGGGGCTTAGCATCATGGGGAATGCCTGACCTTTTAAACTATTACAAAACATTGATATTTGGAACAAACGAAATGCAATCACTCTTGCTGATTAGGAAAAAGTCGAATTATATCGAACCTCTCTGTTACCGGGTATCCAGTTTGTGGAAAATTTGGGAAAAAAATTGTTGAAAAGAATTGCGAATTTCACATGCCCAAGAAATGACACATTCCAAGTTCAACGTCACAGAATGAGTTAGACATAAATTGCATGATTTTGAAGAGCGTTCACGATGCTCGCAAGTTTCATCTCCTCTCGAAAAAATAAACATGAAGAAAGTCTTGTGATTTCAACGTTTCAATCATGCAGCGAATGAAGAGGTTAGCAAGTGCAATTTTTGCACGTGCCGCTGTACAGAGGAAAGGCTGAAACGTAATCAGATCCAGATGGAGCTCTGAGGAAAACTCACTGGCACGCCCATGCTCAGTCACTTGAAGGAAAGTGAATTTTGGGAATTTGCAACTTGTGACAAATTAACAAGAAATGCTTTTCGAAAAAGGCGCAAGAAATCGAACGTCATTGAAAAGATCTCAAGGTCTCGTTTTTAATGGCATTACTCTTAACGTCAGTGTCCTGTCACATCGAAAAATTCCCAACCAAAGGTGACCAAAAGTGAAAATAAGGCAATTCCGATATTGAAATGAAATTTTCAAATGAAATTTTCTCAATGAAGCGGACCAAAAGTGAAAAAGGTAATTTGTCTCATCAATGCACATGAGAGCTTACAGTAACGAATGATTTGCATTGATTCTCGCTATATAGGGTTAATGACAAGGGGACATGCTAATTTTTCATATTTTCATGCTCAACTGTGAAGCTGTAATCTCTTTGAAACTCCACGGACGTATTTATGAAAATTTTCGCCCATTGAAGAGCTGCAGTTGAAGCCATTGCACGCATTCCTACGATGAACGGTTCATGGGATGGAAATTTAGGCGTCCTTAGGATTTTCCCGTTTCCCCATAGAGTTCGGTGGATGATCTCTCCCTGAATGAGGATCCAACGGAGGTGAATCTTTTCTTATTCTTATTGGATCTCCCCTGCCGATGACTCGAAGACTATTCCACCTCAAGGTCAAAGTATCGGCTTGGAAAGAAAGTTTTGCAACACTTTCTAAAAATTTTCAAAGGAATGGTGGGCGGGGCTTTGCATTTGTATATGCTGGAATGTTCTCGAAGCTTCTGCCCTCGGGGTATATAAGGCGGCTTTNCCATCTAATCTCGTCGCATTAGATTTTTATGTTTGAATTCATCCCAAATGCGGTAGGCCCAGACATCCGGAACGAATGTTCGACATATTGCACGTGTTAACAATTGACTGAACGAAATTAACAAAAATTAACTGTCACAGAAAGCGCGTTTTTCTCCGATTTGTCTGTTAACGCTCTAGCAGACAAGCTGCTGAATGCTGAAAATTGGGCATTTCCGTATGTAGCTTTCAGCATCCGCTGAGTCATCCTTCTCATTTTTCAAAACTTCCTCCGACCTGCGCAGAGTGTTGCAAGACTTTCTTTCCAACCCAATATAGAGGACGTGCACATCGAAGGAAGTGAAGTCTGCGAAATTCTCTCGAGTGCAGTCACCGCCGAACGCAAACGACCGACAGAAACTGCAGCTCGACTAACGCTCATCGGTCCGCCGCTCACCATTAAAGTTCACTTCATCTCTCTTGAATTGTCGACGCACCACACCTTCTCCACTGTCAGCGATCGCAGGTGAATGGGAGCCCGCCCGCACTGCACGACATGCTCTCTCGAACGTGTGGAACGAGGGATGCACTCGCATGTGAAGCCGGAACGAAGACAGCCAGATGGCTCCCCCCTCTTTGCACGCCCTGATGTGTTACTGGGGACCGTTCCCGGACGGAACTTGCAATCGCTTCCGGCTTCCGCCGTGCCGGGTGATGCGTCTCGATCCTATCTTCTTCGGGATTGGGACGAAATGACGGCGGTCATTCTCACCAGAGACGCGGAAATGTGACAATATTGGAAAGGGCAGTCGAAGATTCCCCGTCGATTAGAAAGGCTGTCGGCCATTACTATTACCATCAACGAGACCATGAGGTATTATATTAACTGAGGTGCACGGTAATCACACCCTGTGTCTTTCCAGGATTCGGATTTTCTGAAAGACCCGATACTGGACTCCCGCGTTTCTCATGGAGTATGATAACAATATAGTCATCGGCCCTAAATAATAAAAGGCCGTCACCTTAGGCGTGATGGTTTTTCTGTGCTCCATGTAGACCCTGGACCTAACGGTATAGGAAACGGCTGTTACACACGAGTTTGTCTCTCGTTGCAAACTGCAACGAAAGTAAAGACTGGGTCTCTACTCATTCAAATCCCATAAAGGATGGAAGAAGTGGCACGAATTAATTTACAAAAACACTTTAGGTCGTCAGTGAAGGCAGGGTAGGCCTGGGCCGACCCTGTCTCCAGTGGACAGCAAATGCCTTAACGATACATATTGGGTACCACCACATTGGGACTCGGGTTCTTTTCCGAGGAAGCAATGCACTTTTCCCAATGCAGGGTTAAATGAAACCTCCAATGCCACAGTTGCAGTGCGTTCCCCATCGGCATGTTCTGTCTCCGTTATGCAGTGAGTCAAAAGTCCGGTCTCACAGAGAGCACACGTGTGCCAACAAAAGGTGTCGAAATTGCATGCCCGGGGAGCGGAGACAGATGTTCACGCCATGGAGGAACCCCTCAGGCGCTGGAGGATGATGGGCGTGATTCCTGCACATTCATCACGCACTTTGCACAAACATTTGGTATCGAACAAAATGTAGGCAGCCCTAATGAGACCGGATTTTCGACTCACCCTGCGCAACATATACCATGTCTCAGCTCCTTACATGTCTCTATGTCTCTTTCGTCTGTTCTCGATCGATCGACTCCGGACGATCGAAACCAGAAGAGCCGATGAAAGGTTGCCGGCACTGGGTCGATCGCTGGCCCGGAGTCGAGGCGGCAACGAGTCAGAAACCCAAACACCGCCAGAGACGGAAAGAAAGCAAGAAGGAAACACTGAAACATAGGAAACACCATATAGGGTACGAATCACTATAAGAATGAGAGCGAAGTGCATGGAGGTTCGATCCAGTGATAAGATGTAGTACCAGGAAATGTCCGGCGGGATGAACTGTAGTCTTTGCATTCATCTCATCCGAAATTAGTGGTGGATTTTATCGGTGGACAGCATGAGCGCTGTCCACGAAAGTTGTGCCGAATGTCGCATGGTAGATGGATTATAATACCCAACTGCGTCGATGCTTCACGAGGCAAATACGATACGTGAGTTTCATGACTCTCCGCCTCTTCCGTCTATGGATCCAAAAAAAAAAAAAACTCTCATGCACGCACGCACGCACTCCCACATACGCGCACCCACATACACCCACGCATGCATGTGAAACCCGCAGGTCTTCTGATCTTCACGAAAGTTGAGCTGCATACGAATCAAGAGATTTATGAAATGACCTGGACTAATTTCAGTTTCATTCCATTTTCATGCCAATAAATTTGTACATATAATCTTGGTTTCCAGAAGCTTTTATTTAAAAAAAATCGAATGCCATTTCGGTTATATCAGTAAAATAAGTAACTATAATAGAAAGGTCAATAACTATCAATATGTAATAAGGGGAAAATAGTTTCGTGAATATATATATAATTAATATTGCTATAAAATCTGTTCCAAATCATTAGAATCAAAGCAATTTCATTTCAATATCACTTCGCAAACGGTGTAAAATTGGAGTTATTGTCCCCATCAGACTTCTTGATAGGCTAGAGTAATTGTCACCTTGAATTCTACCATCTCCTCGAAAACATGAAGACGGCAGAAGAAAAGGCAAGAAAAATTGCTCATAGATGTATTGGCAAAAATTTTTCTTCGATGAGAAAGTGGGGGTTGCGATGAACTTATTCCTTGCAGAACTTGATCACGTCGGTCGACTGTTGCTAGTAGTCATAAGGTATTTATACTTCACCAGATGTCCGCTGGTTTCTCGTCAGATGCTCAAAGCGGATTGGGGAAAATTCCATTTCCAAAAGGCGAGCTCCTTGTCAACTCCGTCTCGTAGCTTGAGGCCACGCACACCCGACCACCAACGAGAATTTAATGCAAACATTAATTTGCCGATAGAACAAGAGGGAATTTTGCCATTGTCACTTGGATTACTAACTTTACAAGATTTAAAATACGCACAATCTCGTGTTAACCATGTTCAGGCGATTTTACTGAGTTTCATGGGAAGGTTCCACTGGTAATACGAACAACGATTGAACACACAAATGGGAATCACTCAGAGAATTCTAAGACGAAAAGATCATCCAAATCCAAGAGATTGGGTGGGTTGTCGGGATCATCTTCGCCTGGCGGAGGGAAACCTGGCAATGGCATCGTTCCACCATGGAGGAACATCCGATTCCCGATGACACAGCATGTTTGTCGCCTTCTGCTACATGGACCTTCCCCACCTGGAGTGAGCTTCTTCCATTTCTTTAGCGCTGGATCGAACTGATGGAGGTCGTTAAAGTGTTGCTTCTCGATTGCATTATAGCCTCCAAATATGTAAATGTATCCATTTCGCTCGAATGCAGAATGACTCCTTCTGCCCAGAGGAACGTCACCTTCGACCTTGGAATAGGTCCACTGGTTAGACACAGTATTGAAGACTACCATGGTATTGTCATAGATACCTTGACCAGTGTAAGTTGCTCCCGCAATGTCTCCTCTGCCTCCAAACACATAAAGGCAGTCTCCCAATGCTGTGCACGAATGAAAATCTAGGTTTTTCGGTGGAGATCCATTGGTTGTAACCATTACCAACGTCCATGTGAATGTCATCAAATCCAGGCGATGTAAATCGCGAGAAAATGTCTGAGACTCTTCTTCGAATCCACCAAAGATGTACATGCCATCACGGAGTATCGCGGCTGAATGGCCATCTCTCGCACCTGGGATTTGTCCCAATACAGCAGGACTGCTCCAAGAGTGTCTTTTGGTATCGAAGCAATAGAGAACGTTGCACGCCCGTTCGTCGTTTCTTCCACCCCATAGGTAGACCTTCCCCAAGTGTTCCACGACCGTGTGCCCATACCGACGAAACGGAACTCGACCTGCTGATGGATCTTTCTTTCCGACGACTGGAAGACTCCTCCATCTCAATGTCAAAGTATCGAAGATGTGCACATCGATGGGAGTGAAGTCTTTGAAATTCTCTCCATTACAGTATCCCCCAAAGCAATAAATGCTTTGACCGACGGCAACTGCAGCATGATTAACGCGCTTTGGTCCGCCGGTAATTCTCAAGGACCACTTCATCGTTCTTGTATTTTGAACGTTTCAAGCTCTAAGAGAACAAACATGGTCACAAGTTGAAAGGTTGCATAAGATGATATGTAGTAAAACTAAAATATATTAAACTAGCAGAGGTACACGGTGTTGCACAGGTGAATATTGTATACGTCCCATTTTGGTCTGCACTAAATAAGGTATCCCTAGGCAGGGCTGGATTTCAGGGCCGGAGACGCGGGTAACCGACTGGGCGAGGGGGAGGGAAAGGGGGGCTTGGTCTCAGGCCGGTATGACCCTGCCCTGCCGGGTCCGAATTTTCAAACGCCACCTGGGCTATGACCGTTCCCGGACCAAATGATTAAGCCATGCAGAGTTTGGTCGGGCTGGGATTTGAGGCATGGCCGTGCAGGAAAGACAGAGAGACACATAAATATTCAGAAATATAATTTGACATGCGCCAGATTCGTTTTACTTTCAACCTATTAGTTTTTATGATGGGCGTCTATGGAAATAAGTTCATCTCTGTTTAACTGATTCTCATAGGGGACCACTGTGAGGTCAGATTAGTTTAGCTTAAACGGATCCAGTGCATGTCACCCGTAGTATAGAAGACTGCACGAAATAAACCCTGGGGCAGGGCCGGATTTAGGGGCTGGCGACCCAAGCGGCCGCCTGGGGCGGCAGGGGGGGGGGGGGGGGAGGGGGAAGACTCTCCTCGCCTGGGGGCGCCATTTCATCTAGGGCCGCCCCTTCCCCGAAGAGTCCGAATTTTTAAACGCCGCGAGGACCGTTCCCGGACCAAATGGGGAAGCCATGCAAAGTTTGGTCGGACTGGGATCAGAGGCGTGGCCGTACATAAAGGACAGACACGCAAACATTCTGAAATATAATAGTTTTAGATTGGTACCACCTGGGAAAATAATTGCAGTGCCCACACTCTGCAAGAGGGCGGAAACCACGCCAGACCTTTATTTAATCTTGTCTCAAACTGGAGAGAGACATGACAAGATGAATATTGGAAAATATTAAAAGCGAAAATATTTCATTTTGGAAAGAAATAACTGATGCTTGAAACAAATTAGGATAAAAACTCCTCATATCACTTCAAGTCATTGTTTGAGCCGAAAAGTCAAACTATACTTCGACCAGGCTCCGTTACTAGGTTTCTGATTGATGGAAAATTGGGTAAACCTTTTCTTAAAAGAAAATGGTCTCTCTCTCCTACACACATTAAAAAGCACACATTACACTTTGGACGAAACTGATAATATCATAAACAATTGCATAACGTTGGAGAGATCTTTCGCTTGAAGATATTTGCAAGTTTAATATTCAAAGAGCAAATATCAAAGAATGGAATCTGTTTTGCTAGGTCTCTGAACCCCAAACATTAAATAGTTATTCTATCGTAGATCATTCTGGTACTTTCTTTCGAAATCGAAAGGGTTTGGTCCGCTGAGTCCTACTAGCGTCCCTTGTAATCCTCAAATTCCAGAAAAAAAAATAGAAAACATGAAAGAAAGAAAGAAATGCATGAAGTGCAGAAAATGTCTTGCGAAATTCACAAAAGTCAACTTGAATCTTTGAAATTCGGCTCAAATCGTGTGTTTTAATCCTTGCAACGTTCGCCAAATTGAGGCTGCAATGTTCATGGTGAGCCTCCAAGAAAATTGAAGCCATCGGAGACACACTGAAATCCGTACTGGGAGAACTAAGTGTCTACCAAGTTTCCTATGCTCTTTTAGTTAGTGTAAAAGAATATCTTTGGAAAAGCCAACGCAGCCAAAAACTGCATCCTGAGGGTATGCACCACTAAACATGAAAATTTTTCTAAACTCACCATCACTACTGGTATTGATTGGTGTTGCAAGTACTTACCGTCACTATTGATATAGGTGCGTCAAGGTGGTTTCTTTCTGCCCAATTTGGTAAGACAAAAAAAAATTTTTGAAAAAGTCACCAAACATAAATATGCCCCAAGGCATGCATCCGAAACTTGACATTTTTTTTGTGCGACGAGGAGCATGGCGAGGAGCATGGGTCGCCTCTGACGAGTCTAACCAATTTCTTTGTGTGAGTAAATTCTTTTCAATAAATCAGAGAAGAAATAAAAAAGATTCGCGTGAATGCTTATTTGTCGACTTTCCATCCACGCTTGTAGTTTCAGGTAAAGAATGGTTTCATTGGACGAAATTCTGATTTAATTGCGACGAGTACTGCATCACATCTTCACGCAGAAAAACGCAAACGCAAACACACACACACACACACACTCTCTCTCTCTCTCTCTGAAAGAACCAAACCCAGCAATATTCATGATTGAAAGGACGTGGAAATTCCGAGAACGAATTGAAGTTTTCTTCCCGAAGAAAAGACGATGTTCTTTGAACACAACCCTTCTCTCCTTCAATAATGGAAGCTCGCAAGAATCTAACCAAGCAAAAACAATAAAACAAAAATGTATATGAAGGATCGTTTTCTCACTTTCTCACTACAAATAAAAATGTGCTAAAAAATGTAGCTCTCAAGTGCGGAGTCCACGGAACTTCTCCGAACGGTACAGAGCACAGTACTAAATACTTTATTCTCACCGGAATCCCACATTTTCACGGTTCAACCATCCATGTATCTAGATATGAACTTCATCATCGAAAATCTCTGTGAAGGGAATGATGACCCTGACCTCTCCACCGCAAAAGTAATCTACGACGAAACGCTGCTGGAAATCCAGCTGCCATGAACGTGCAGAAGGACCTTGTCGGCTTGCTTCAACCCAAAGAAACGGCAGAAATATTAATCCTCAGTTGCAAGAATTAATACCTAGCAGCACACAAGTGGAAAAAGGAAAGATCCCAAGTAGAACTTGAGTTGTGGGCCACCAGCCACATTGGGAGAGAAGACCTGATGGCCCACCACCTTTTGGGGCACTATAGGGCCAACAGATTACCAAGTAACTCGTTCGTGGGGTACCCACTTCTGCGAAGGGAGCTTCTGCCCCATGTATATATGATTTACCTCTAAAACTCGGAGTTCTAGCGAACCCTGAAGAGTACCCAAGGTTTCCTACTAGCTCCCATTTCCTCATCCAATTACGGAAAATTGAAGGAGTGAGAAGGACTGTAAGAGTAGCGAATATACATGTACAATATGTTTCTTGTGATTATGCACATTTCACTTGCTTATATTCGTAGACTTCTGTATTCACATACTTAACTGCTACATCTAATAATAATTTGAGTCATATATTGCAAATAAAACAATTCCACACTCCCCTCATATCGATTCATAAATAGCACACTAAAAAGACGAAAGAGGAGAGGGAACACTTTAGCTAAATTAGGAAGGCAAGTGCTTAATTGCATTTGTAGGGTGTAGGGAACATGGGTACCATCTAGTGAGGACTCTTGGTACTGCATCTAGGGGAGTGCCAGCTACATTAAGGGAAGAGAGCTGTTGGCCCTACACCTACATTATTAGGTAGCGGGCCAGCAACTGCATGTCCCACTTGCTGCCACGTTACCGTCTCCGGCAGAAATCCGCTACTGAAATATTTGGGCAGTCCACTGCTTTTGTGGTACTGGGGGAAGTCCAGAATCAAGTTATTCCAGGCGTCCTATGTTCTGGTTCTGGCCTACTGGCTAATCTGCTATTCCAATCGACACTTTTCCGTCTCTGGCAGAAAGTATATTGCCTGGGCCACTTATGACCCCATGCTTTTGCGCTACTAGGGATATTGCATGACTGGGTGGTACTGCTCACAGTATTAAATAAATGGCTGCTTGCGATTCAATGGTAATTGCTTGGCTTATAGATGCCCTTAGAAACCAGTATATACCAAATATGACATACCTGACGTATGCGTCTGCCGGTCGCACTACGTGCATGGGTTGGGATAGGGAACGAACGGCAGATAAGATTAAAATTCCATAATAGGAAAGCTTCCATTCTAAATATTAACAAAAAAAACTCAGGTGATAAGATGAAGTGGCAGTGTGTTCGAAGGGAAATATACCTTAGTCATTTCGTTCACTCACCCAATATTAGTAGCAACTTTTACCAGCTCGTCGCATGAACTCTTTTGGCGTATGTACCGTACTTAGGCAAAAATTACAGCCAGTGGCGCGCCCAGAAAATATGAATTGGGGAAGGGAGGGGTTCGGGGGGGGGGGGCGATTGACATCAGAAAAATTGGCTACACACACTGCAGATATGGCCAAATTAACTTTTTTTGTGATACGAACCTGTAAAATGTATTTGAAGGGACACTCCACCAATTACAGCATTGTCTCTCATAATATTCCAGTGCATTAGCACCCAGTCAGCACAATATGACCATGATTCGCCACAGAAGTATAAAAGTCCCAATATCTGTCACATTACTTCATCGATCGAATGGGCGAAAGGGCAGGTCCCTCATCGTCCCAGCGCCTTCGAAATCTGCGATTTTCCTCCTTCGTCGCCAGTGGGGAACGGAACAATGCACCAAAAGCATCGGTGACTCGGTTCGCGGCGTCTCGGCGACGCTCTCGTCATCTGACTTCGTCTGCGTGAACCTTGGTTGCTCGATGTTTTCCAGATGGCGCTCTGAGCCGTCGCGTCCACAGGAAGCAATAAAAATGAAGAATCCAATCCGAGTCTATCAACGAGAATTGAAAGATATGGACTTACAGAAGCATCCAATTGAGAATTGAAGGAGTGAGAAGGCCTGTAAGAGTAGCGTATTACACAATATACATGTACAATGTGTTTTTTGTGATTATGCACATTACCCTTGCTCATATTCGTAGACTTCTGTATTCACATACTTAACATCTGCATCTAATAATAATTTGAGTCATATATTGCAAATAAAACAATTCCACACTCCCCTCATATCGATTCATAAATAGCACACTAAAAAGAGGAAAGTGGAGAGGGAACACTTTTGCTAAATCAGGAAGGCAAGTTTTAATTGCATATGTAGGGTGTAGGGAACATGGGTACCATCTAGTGAGGACTCTTGGTACTGCATCTAGGGGAGTGCCAGCTACA